TGTAATCTGTTAGCCAAATCGCTGACTCCCTATTCACCCGAAGTCACCTTCGAAATTAAGTGCGGAGCCCAGTGGCTGTGCTGGTCTGCGGCAGTATCCTGTGCCACTGGAAGGGAATGCTTCCCTAGAAAACATAGGTCCTTATGAACTAGATATGTTGTTTAGTTTCTCTGGGAGGAGATCATGGTGAACTTATGAATTGTGACTGGAGGAGACTTAACTGCTTTCTATGTAAGTTGCCGAGGTCCAGCCTCAGCTGTGGGTCTCTGGAGGGAGAGGTGGTGTCGGTGAGATGATGGAAACACACTCACAGAAGATTAAGATGTGCCCCACATAATGAGGTGGCTGTCTTTATTTTATACTATAGTGCAGATTACAAATGACAAAGCAAAATGACAAACCCACAATTCCAGGCACATGGCTGTGGGTTATTAACTTTCCAAAACTTTAAACTATTATTGAACTTATAAACTAAACTTACGTCTTATCTTTATCTAACTTATCTATCGTTAACAATATAAAAATAAAATGTGCTAGACAATGAGGTTAACTAAAACATGAAAAAATGGTCAGGGTGAAGAAGACAACATGGGGCCAGAACATGTGACCCAACTTTGTGGTTGGCACTATTCTCTGAATTATCACGAGTCTGGGGGTACAGATGGGTCTGCATAGCCCAGCAACATATACCTGTGGCCTTTTAGTTTCTTAAAATAACTGTTCCATTGCTTGATTAGAGTATGTCTCTGTGCAGTAGTTTTACATCTAGGCCCTGATCATTTTAATCTCTCTAAGAAAAGGGAGAGAGTTAAAAGGAACTCTTTTTCCATCTACCCACACCATTCTTTTACCTTCTATGTATGCCCCAGTATAAGGAAGAGGAAGGTTAGGCCATCGGGAAGGTTTAGGCTCCCCTCCCCGAGGAGGATACCAAAGTCTACCATTAATTCTATAAGCTACATTAAAAGGACGCTTAACTGTAGGAGGCAGCCTCTTAGGCCAAGGTTTTTTTCCTATCAGGAGTAATCCCTTTTCTATGTTGTGTTGCAGGGGTTGGTATTGTAAGAGGTTGAGTAGCCATGAGATCTTTCCTCCAATATGAATTCTCAATGTCTTTAGGATTCCCAGGGGCCTTTCCAGCTCTGGTTCATCATGGGGATTTCTAGGAAAACCAGGGTTTTTGGAATTGGAAAATCAGAGAGTCATCTGGAAGGTGGCCTGATTCATGGGAAACATGAAAATCAGTTTTGGATCCTCTGGGATGAACCAGAAGGAGCATGACCACCATAAAGATTATTGTAACAATTAAGATAATGGACCAGAATACAATCGGAAGTAAAGGTGGAATTGGCTTGAGCCCAAGACTCTTGACAGCTGGATCTTTGTCAAGCAGCAATTGTAGAGGTCTGGGCATCACCAGTAGGTGATGACGTGGGCTTTATCCATAGCACATACCATCTGATCTTCAGAAATCAAGGCAAGTAATGATGCTTTTCCTAAATGTACCTATTTCCATGCTGTTTTCTATGGGATCATATAAGTTCATGAAAGTGACACTGCAGACACAAATTGGCATGAGAATTGAGTGGTTCCTAATTTAGTTTTGAAGTGTGCTTAATCTCATAGTAACACAGGTTTTATAAGTATCTAGGTGAAATCATCTGGTGTTCTTCACCACAGAATTGATCATGACGTTTTGTGATCCTACAAGAGATTTGTTGTCTTCAACTCTTTCTTCACCTTGAAGTTCTGCTTAGTTTCAATTAGGTTTTCAGACCTTTATGAAAAAGGAAAAGATCAAGGGTTTGGCAGGTGTCCTTACAAAAACATGTGCTTTTTGTGTGACTTTCATCCTGCTTTTAAAGAATTGAAAAAAGACATTGTGAAAAAATAACTTGTTATTCACATGGGTCTTGCTGCTTGCTATCCAGGCAAGTTCCATTGTGATTCCAATCATAGCAGAAAACATCTCTTCTTCCTGGAACATGGCAAGTCATATTTTTATCTCTAGTATTTATCACTAGCATGTTTTTAGACTGTGATTCAAGTAAAAAATACCAAGTTTTTTTTTTTTTTTGACATTGTTTAACACTAAGGAAGGCAGATCTCTTCTGTACTAACAAGGGATAGTTAAAGTTGGTAATAATGGAGTATTTGGAGTTCTCCAGGGTAGTCATTGAGGTTTCTCACCACAATCATGATCATGATGTTTTACAGATGTTAATGGAAGAGATGTGATTACTTCCAGAAACTTTTGAGTACTGGAACTCTATTGTTATTCAGGTAAAAATTTTGAGTCTGACATCACCTATTTTGGAGAAAATCATTTTCAGTAATCCTGGTAAAAACATGGATAATTAAAAAAAAAAATTTTTCACTGAGAGAGAACTCTCAATGGGCCAATAGAAAAGATAGGTCCTTCTAAACTAGATGTATTACTTAGGTTCTGTGGAGGGAAGACTTTGGTAAGTCTAAGAATGGTGACTACATTAGATGTTACTGTTTTCCATGTAAGTGATGGCATGGACCTTGTCTATAGCACACACATCTGATCTTCAGGAAAGTATTGCTGTTTTTCCTAAATTACCAGTTTTCTTGTTTGATTTTCAGGATCATGCAAGTCAAGAAAGTTATAGCTCAGGCACTAATAAGCATGACAATTGATTGCTTCTTAACTTAGTTTTGATGTGTGATTAACTTCATGGTAAGTGAGAGATTTGAAGATATCCATGTTAATCCTTTGTTGTGTTTTTCACCAAATAGTCATGATTTTTGCAGGTGTTTACAGAAGTGCCATCACTGTCTTCCATCATCAGACCTCCTTTCATTCCAAAAGGAAGGACAGAGTCCTCATCTACAGTGGTAGCCCACAGATTATTCCTATGAAATGGAAGTAAAACCTACTGTTAATCAGACCCAATGCAGGTCCCTACTCAGTGTGCAGTCAGGCCAAAACAGTTTACACACTGAGATTGAGAGGAGAGAAAATTATTTATTGCAAAGCAGCAATGAACGTATTAGGGGTAGTTCAATACCCAGATCTCACTCCCCGAGATGCCATGAAACACAGCCTTTGTAGGTTTCAAGAGAAGGGGTTGTGCATATTCACAAAAAGTTGAGGAATTTGGGGTGTGAACATGAAATGGGTGATGAGCAGATGAGTCACACTAGCTTCCTTTTATCAGCTGATAGGGGCTTTGGCAGAGCGGAGAGGGTCCTAAATTAACTTTGTTTCCTTTGTCCTGTTGAGCATGTCCCCAGGCCAGAGTTAATTTACAAGTTGTTTCTAAGATATTTTTAGCAGTCTATCATCTGCAGTAAGGAATGTCTTCCATTCAGTTATTTAAGGAACTGAATACTCATCTGACTGGGGTGGGAAAATAGTTGGGGGTAATTTAGTTTACTTATCTATTCCCATCTGGGTGCCAGGGTGGGGGAAATAGTTTTTACTTTACTTGATTTCAATTCCCCCTTAGAATAGATACTGTTCCACATTCTTGGGGAACACTTTATTTCGTTTCACCACCACCACTATCAAAACTTTTTACCAATTCTGACGTCAGTCATCTGTCCCGTGGAACAGTCTACTTCTCTATTGCATTTGATAATTGATTGTAGTGGTCACACAGAACCCAGAGACAATATTCACAATTATGGGGTTTATCATGGTAGCAACAGGTTACAATTCCGTATGAGAATCAGTCTTGATATACCAGGATCTTGACAGGCTGCCCTCAGCCATACTTGTAGCCATACCTCTCCCAATCATGTTAGGTATAAGCCCACATTTGAAAGTGTATAAACCAGCCTCTTCATGACTTTATCCCCCCATTTTAGATATCCAATATCTAAATTGCCATATCCAACCAGCAGTGTGAAGAGACAAGCATGTTCCTCTGTGAAGAATCTTCTCCTCTGCTTAGAACATTGAGCATCTGGATCCTTAAACAAAATTCAGTCCAGAGCAGCCATCAAAGTGCAGCAAGTTACATGAGCTCACAGTGTCCCACATATTTCTTTTCATTCGGTCAGGTTCTGGTTAGCTCATCTCTAGTCATTCAAACTAGGTCAGTGGTTTCCAGCTGTAATCTTGGGTGTTCATATTCCCCTTTCTTTCTCAACCCTATTCCACAAGGGCTAGGTCAATAACCATAGGATCAGGAGTCCACACAGCTCCATGCACTTCAAAACAGCTAGCTGTTCCACTCTCATACATGGCTTCCCTGGGCTGAGTCAGCAAGTAGTAACAAACTCAGCCTGATTCTTCACTGATGATACACGTCCTACAATTCTACCCATCAGGTGGACCCAGGTCATCACCCACACAGCTTATGAGCCTGTCTATTCACCTTTAACTTCAAGTTTTGGAGGAGGTTCTCTTGATGGTACAGGACTTTTCTGCTTCCATTCAATGCAGCCAAAGACAAACACTGAAATACAAAAAGCAAAAGAGCCATTTTTCTTTTCTGCAAGTCCTTGAAATGCAAGTCTTCTGTTCTCTCAGAGACATGGGTCTGTTTGGTTTTCCAGATAAAAATATCCTGCCTTTGACTATTCTGGTTGGGATTATGTTTTTGACCTCTGCCTCAATAATATACACAGTGTTACAACACTGAAACAAAAAGTCTGTATTTTTTCTGAGCAAATCCTACTTCTCCTTTTTTAACTAGTATTTGTTGAAGGATAATGTTCAAATTCTCTGTAACCGATACCAATATTCACTTTTTAACATGAACTAGCATAGTAAAAAATTTGACATTCATAAAAACCAACCCAAATTCATTACTGTCAAGTCAAGTCTGACCCCTTCTTGGGACTCCAAAGTTATATCTCTATGGAAGGAGACTGCTCAGCCTTCCTTCACAAGAGTGATTGGTGGATGTGAACCTCCCACTTTCTGATTAGCAGTCAAATGCCTTAGAATCATGTCACCAGGTTTCCCAAACATCCATAGTATATTCAGGGTAAACACAACTCTTTTTTACAACCTTACAATTCCTTTTCACACCTCAACTACCTTCCCATTTTATGCACATGGTTGTGACAAGTTGGAAGGAAAAGGCCCTGGCCTCTTGTTATCTCCTTAACAGGCCTGGCTCTTGCTCCAAGCTCTTCTCTTCTCAGCTGCAGCAAAGCATCCCTTACATTCCTTTCTGCCATGATAGGTATCAACCAAAACAACAATCTAACAATCAAAAGCTTCATTTCCCAGGCCCCTTTGGCTTTCTTTTGCACGGTTCTATGCCTCTCAGGGCTGGAGCCCTTGAAAAGCATTGGACACCAACTACAAAAAGGGATGACAATGGGGTCCCCTGACCTCTAACTTCATTAGGGAAGACAAAATCCCATCAGCATCAACCCAAGAATGATCTCTATGAAACACAGGTCAGACATGCTGCCACCCTCCAACCCTTTTACCAATTCTGACACCAATGTCAGAATGCCATTTTCTTCTTCTTTGCTGCATTTGATAATTCCTTGCAGTAGGCTCACATAACTCACACACAGTATTCAACATTATGGACTTTATTAGGGAAGTCACAAGTTAAAGTTCCGGTTCAAGAACACTCAAGATAAAATTCTTGGAGCAAAACAATCTTCCATCAGCCATGCCATCAGGTATGCCTCTCTTTGGTCCTTGGCTCTTAGCCAGGCCTATGCCATTCTCCAGTAGTGTTAGAAAACCAAAAGAACATGCTCAGCATTTCTCAAGTTGAAATTACTAGAGGAAAAATGTAAGCATCGAGTTGCAATATTGAAAGATTCTATGGGCAATATGTTG